ATCAAGGACTACTCCAAGGTAGTACGTCCCCTTATTCAGTTAACCAGAAAGATAGACTGGACGTGGGGGTCAGAACAGGAACAAGCATTTAATCAACTCAAAAAGTTGATGACAACAAACATAGTTCTTACAATTCCCTCAGACAATGGAAAGTTCCGAGTCGAAGCCAACGCTAGTGATGGAGCCATTGGCGCTGTCCTAAGTCAAGAAAAGGAGGGCAAATGGAGACCAGTTGCCTTCATGTCAAAAGTACTCACTGTCACCGAGCGTAACTATGAAATCTATGACAAAGAGTTGCTAGCAATCATGCTAGCACTAGAAGAATGGCATCATTACCTTATGGGCGCCAAAGAGATCATCGAGATCTGGACTGACCACCAGAATCTCCAATACTTCCGGAAACCCCAGAAGTTGAATCGCGGACAAGCTCGGTGGGTTACCGAACTAGCAGAGTACCACTTTGTTCTTCAACACAAAGCCGGAACTGCTAACCAAAAGGCCAATCTTCTCAGCAGACGAGATGATCACGATCAGGGAAAAGAAGACAATCAAGATGTTGTCATTCTATCCCCAGAACATTTCTGAGCACTGGTATTACCAACAACTGAAGAAAGGATCACGTGTTGATGTGCTTGGTAATGGCAAGTGACAAAAGAATTAGAGAATGGCAATGAACACCAATCACACTAAACCTCTTACTACTCTACACTTAATCACCAATATTGAATTCGGGCGGTTTCGAGTACGATGGAAGCACTCTGCAGACTTCAATAATCAAGTACAATTGTCTTAAAGACGTTTTATTCGTTACTAGTGAGTTTATACAAAGTACTAGTCATACTAGTGGGGTGGGTAAGATACAATTGGATAAGAGTGACTTGGTTTGAGCTACTGCGCTCATTCTGACTGAAACTGCTTCAGACTGGTGGCGCTCTTGGCCCTATACTGCTTCCTACAAGTGATAAACACTTGACTAGCTGCACTCTTGGCTAACTAGTGGTGCTCTTGGCCTAAGAATAAACTATAACTCCGAGAACTTTGCTTGAACTAACTTCAAAACACTCCGGACCTTTGCAGGACACAACAGTGACTCTAATGGACTTCAATTCAATGCAATTCTATTGGTGACTTAGCGACTATTAATCACTTTGTTGAGGTTAAGCACAAAAGCCTTTAATTGGGGACACCAGTTACTACCAGTGAGGGCTCAACTGCAGGGATGGCTTGCCTGCTTTGCATGAGCGCCCATCCCACTACTTATATACTACTGAGGCAAAACTATAAATATCATCTGGGTATAGGGTATATTGGTAAGGATTTCTTGGCTAGTCATGAATAATGGTGAATAATCACACAATAGTCGGTCTAGTCTGTTTTCTTTTCAAATATTCAGTCTAGAGACTCCACAGTTGGTCTTTCCGCACCCTTGGCACAACTACATGCCCTAGTAACATGGTTATATGGATATCCGGATATTGGTGCCTGTAACAGCTATCTGATCATGATCGAGGGTGCAGTCCAGCTCCACTAGCATCGATCATAAGAGATCTATATCGAAATAGTCAGATCTGGGCTCAAGGTTAATCCATTCCTAATTTATTTCTAAGTCCTGTTTCAAGATTGCTATGTGACTAGTTATCCTGACTTAGGTGTTTATGCCCAGTCTGGGCTGCTAGTGACAGAACTTGATGAGATCTGTGTACTCTGCTCCTGGTTTTTGTGTGCTAGTAGCATCCTTCATTTGCTAGTGGCTGTATTTCACTTAGTCCTGCTAGCATTCAAGTTACTAGTCTGGCCGGCTGGTAGATTTAACCCACTAATGGTGTTGCATCTAAGTCCTGGCTCTACCAGTTGCTTACTGCTTTTAACTATCAGCTCAAAGCCTCAGCTATAGTCCTCTATGTATCACTAGTATAGAATAGATGTGCAATAGTATTGTTACAAAATCGCAAAATCTAGGTGTGAATGCATAGACGGCATATCAGTGTATAAGAGATGCAACAAAACAGAAGGATCAGTGGGACCAGGGGATCAAGAAATCCCTCAATCACGAATGAGAAATCACCCAGGAAGACAAAATCCTGTGGTACGATGGACGAGTCTATATTCCCAATGACTCAATTCTATGCGGTGAGATCATCTCTCAATTCCATGACCATATCACTGCCAGACATCCAGGGATCACCAAGACCAAGAAACTCATTCTTCGAGAATATTGGTGGCCGAAGATGAAGAAAGACGTTGAATCCTACATCAAAGGATGTGAGACTTGTCAGTGAACGAAGAGTGATACGCAGGCCAAGGCTGCACCTCTTCACCCAAATGCTATCCCAGATACGCCATGGATGCATATCTCAGTCAATATGGTCACTGGACTCCCTGAGTCAGATGGATTTGATGCTCTACTAGTTATAGTAGATCGTTTCTCCAAGAACATTCTCCTTATTCTGTGTAATGAGGAGTTATCCACTGAAGGATGGGCATTAATACTTCACAATCATGTATATGTGAAGCATGGAATGCCGCAAGTGGTCATCTCAGATTGAGGACCCCAGTTCATCTCAACATTCATGAAGGAACTATACCGAATGTTAGACATTGCACAGAATGCCTCTATGGCATATCATCCACAGACAGACAGACAGACAGAGAGAGTCAACCAGGAGGTCGAAAAATACCTCCGCATCTTTGTCAATCACTGACAGACCGACTGGGTAGCATGGCTACCACTCGCCAAATTCACCCACAACAACCGAGTTCACTCAGCTATGGGCAAAAGTCCTTTCATGGTCCTATATGGACGAAATCCCTGACTCATTCCTGAGTCAATCCAGAAAACCAGCTTCGTGAATCCTGCAGCTGTTGACTTTATGGAAACTATGGCCAAAGTCCATAAAGAAGTCCATGAAGCATTGGAAAAAGCAGCAGTGCAAATGAAGGTGCAATACAACAAGAGGAAACAGGCACCTCAACAATACAAAATCGGGGACAAGGTATGGCTTGACACCACCAACCTCCATCTTCCATAACCAAAGAAAAAGCTCGACGACAAGCGAATGGGACTGTTTGAAATCATCAAAAAATCAGGAGCAGCAGCATACAAGTTAAAGCTGCCACCCCATTGGAAGATTCACCCTCGGTTTAATGAGAAGTTGCTGACTCCATATGTTGCACCCTCATTTGCGAACCAAGAACAACCACCACCCCCTCCTCCAGACCTTGTCAACGGTCAAGAAGAATATGAAATCGAAGAAGTCTTGGATTTGCGCACCAGAAAGGTACGATCCAAGCGAGGACAACCAGCCAGGGAAGTCATGGACTATCTGGTCAAATGGAAAGGATGGACCCATGAGCACAATTCATGGGTCCGAGAGAACAAAATGATGAATGCCTTGGAAGCGATCCAAGAGTATCAGGCTAGCGTAAACCATGCCATATACACTCCAAAAATTGCAACCAAGGATAAAGCAGTGGTCAAGATACTGGACCACGAATACTCGGAACACAGCGATGTAGCCTACCTCACCAAAAGAAAAGACGGATATACCAAGTGGATTGTCAATCCAGACGAAGAAATATGGAAAAAACTGATTGATCAATACTGGATCAGTCAAATTGCAACACAGTTCGACACCCCTTTGGAAGAGCCTTGGCAGTTGGGATGACTGCTTTAACAAGGGGGTAATGTTATGATTTTTCCGTTATCTTATCTTATCTGAGTCATATTCATGACTCATCCATCTAATCTATTCAAGAAACCAACTTGTATCCAGCTATTTGCTGGCTACAACCCTCGTTCTCACTGTCTGTCACCCCAGACACTCTCTATTGGTTCTATGATCCTCCTGGATCGTTCTACTTCAACACCATTTGTGCATGGACCATAGCATTTCATCTAAATATAACGCCATAGAAATACTATATAAACAGAGTAAACTAGACAGTTGTACTCTATCTCTTGTTTAAATTACAACCATATACTTCTTGTTTACACAACACAGAAGGCTATTGGCTTCTATCTCTCACTTTGGGTGATCGTTCGAATGCGTAACGGCCTAGAGAGATCAGCTGACTGCCCCAAGTCACATGTCCAAGTCAGTGCCTAACAGCATCTGCCATTTAAATACAAACACTGATGCCAACTACCTAACAATTCTATATTAGCATCATCTGAAGATACCTATGTTGATGCTCCAAGATTTTCAGGTATTGATAAAGCACTATCTCCATAAGACAAGATATGCTAGGCAGAGTCAGATTCCACAGACTTGAAATGCTCATAACTGTCAGAAATGAGGCTTATATTTGTAAGTGAAACCATAACTTAAGTCACCAGAAAAAAATATGAGGTGCTAGGATGTGGGCTGTATTAGGCATGGTGCTTGACTGTGTGGAAGAGGCAGCATGTTGAGCTTGAGAATCTTCTAGGCCTGACTCAATAACAGCAGGTCTGATAGTAGAAGCCAGTATAAAAATAGTGATTCAGACTTGCCAGAGTAGGTGAATTTCTTCATTGTGATAAGATGTCTAGAATGCTCATAATAGCCAAAGTCTCATCTCTCTCTCTCTTTGTGCATTGTTAGTCCAATTATTATTGGCAAGATGCTTCTATCATAAGTAGAGAATGACTTTTATAGCTAGAATCAGCAGATTTGGAGAGATGACTAATGTACACACTCCTAAAAGTGCCCATTTGCATAGGCCACATAGGTGGCATAAATGCAGGAACATCCAGACAGAAAGAACTACCAGCAGAGACATTGATATCTGACTGACAATAGGACTATCTTTAGAGATCCTTTGATCATCAGGCTATCATTTAAAGCCTTTTACAAAGTTGAAGTTGCTTCTGCTTTGAGTGAGAATGCATTAGCAGTCCACAAAATAAAAGAGATGAGGTGAGAAGGTCATTGTGGTTGTAAAAGCACCAAAGGAGCCAAGAATTTCATCTATCCTGGACATTTGTTGAATATGATGAATAAAGTAAGGTCTTTTTTATCGGGCCCTTAGCTCAGTGGTAGAGCGTGTGATTCCAGATATGTATCCACAAGGTCGTGCGTTCAACTCGCTCAGGGCTCATTCTTTTTGGATTAAGACAGGATATCTATATAAATCTAACAGAATCCAGACCTACCGCCGCCCAGTGCCCATGTTGTCATCTTGATGATGTGAGCACTACAAGCTTACAACTGTTTTCTTTTTACCTAGGTCGAAGGCTTTCTGAGTCTAGTATCTCACTCGTACCCAAAGTCATCGATTCAAGCTCCTATCTGAGTATACGGTTTATGAGAGCCTATCCCTAGTAGATTCTCAATGCTCATGCTGAGATTCCCTCTACAGAAGGTGTTCGATGTTGTGAAGCAGATGATCGATGCCCTCGCGGGGGTAGGTAGTATCTTAAAAGTCAACTTTGCCATGGTAGCCTGCGTCTGTTGTATACAATGCATAAGTACCATACAGAGAATCAATTACAGTTTGCCATATCTCCAATTACGAGCTGACTTCCTACGTGTTTTGTGGGCCTGTCTTCTTGCAGTTCCTTCACCAAGATGACATCATGCGTCTTATAAAGATCGACCGACGGCTCTACGAATATAAGCTTTCCTCATTGATCTCTGGCTCCCACCATTTCCGTAGCTCCCGGTTTTAGGTCCTTGTCTTGAATCCCGTCAATCTGTAGCACCCACTCGACAGTCAACACTCAATGTATGCCAGCATCGCTTTTGTTCTGCCGAGTCTCGTACAAAACATCCTACCCACATTTCCACCCATGTCTACAACACAGCGAACTGCATACATCATCGTTTTCGGTAATGAACTCGAGCTTCGTCCATTAGCCGAGTGGTTTTTGACGCAGCGTCCGACATCCCCTCAATGGAATCAAGCATCTGCAGGAATTACAGAAACTCCCGTATCGCTCACCCCAGCCTGATCCGAATTCTTCAATGCCTGCCGTCCCTCACCTCCCTAGCGCTCCGTAATGTTGTCTTTCCATCGGCCCACACTGTTTCGTACTCGGACGACGACACACTCCCACTCTGGCACCGAGCCAAACCAACGACGCTCTCTATTAGCACTGTCCATCTCATCGATTTCCAGTCCACCCTCACATGTACCTGCGACATGATCAACCTTCAGGACCTCCAACAGTTTCAACTCAAAGTGTTATCCTCTGCTTCCAGTGATGAGTACGACAGCTGTCGGCATCTGTTCGAACTCTCGGAGTTCCTTAGTGGGAGAGAAGATCTCCTATCGCTAGACATCGGGTTTCACTTGCATGGTGAGCCGACACTTCTTCATCATGACTAGTGGCTTAACCAGGCGTAGAATATCTCGATAAATACCTGACCAAGCTCGATAAACTCATGTTCCTGTGCGCGAGCTCTATCCCAAGGGATTCATGCTCCCAACAAATCAATACAGCTCTCGGAGAATGAAGACCGTTAGGATACAGCTTGCATGAAGACAGTCCCTCGGAATTTTATGACGATTGGTTCGACTTGGCCAGGGAGACGATAGCGATGAGAGAGATTCCGTTCACAATGAAAGGAGAGGTGAGGGAAATGATCAAGGGCCACCTAACGAGAGAATTCGAGAAGAGCAGATACACAAATAATCGGGATCGTGCGGGGTAGTTCTCGAACTTCCATGTGATGTTCTTCGGATAAATTCATTGTTGAATTCCGTATCATGTAAAATTTGATAGCAGAATCCTGTGGCTACACCGGAGGTCGTCGTCGCAAGCTCATCATCACTAGGAGAGATCGCTATAAGAACAGTTAATCTCGAGTCAGAGTCTTGAAGAATGCACCTACGCCATGTTCACTTTGGCCTTGCTTCCTCTAGTAAGCTTGCCATATATCCCCAAGGTTTCCAGAACGACATTATCCCAAAAATTCTGAGCGCACCAGACCCATATTCCCACCTATGCAGCAGGTGACTGCCGAAAGGGCAAATTTTGAAGCGAAACGCTATCGGGGAAGGGGTAGCACCCGTATCGTCCTACAGTGATAAAGGAAGCCAGTGCGAGAGTGATTGACAAGTCCCTCTGTCATGTTGATGGGACCAAGATAATAAGCATTGACGGTAGCAGTTCCACTAACAATCCTATTAGGAGTTTCTAGAGACGGGGTATCCGGTGTAAAATCGTACGAATATTTCGCTTGTGGCATTCGTTTAGGCAGCGAGGGACGTCGAGGGCCTTCTACGAGCGTAGAGCCGCCGCTGTCGACCCTTGGGGACGGAGAACTCTGGCCATCGTAGATAAGTCGAGTTGATGACAATTGTTTGGTGGTCTTCAGTTAGGCAGAAGAAGTCGCGGGGGTGCATCAGACATAGGCACGTCTGATGAACTGGTCGCCGCCGACGGAGAACCAACAGCCATGCCCTCGAATGGCGAAGTTGGCAGCGGACCATGGGTCAAAGGTGACATTGTCGAATCTTCTGTCTTAAGAATCGGAGACGTTAACGACAGTTTTGCGAGGGCGATGACGGCGTTGTTATCCTTTGCTTGGCCTTTCCTCATCGTTGGCAGTGATAACCGTTCTCGTTCCGTCCCTTTCTCCACGACAAGACTTCCTTTACTTCCTTTCAGCATCCTCGAGCACACAGCCCATTCTACCATCACACGAACAGTTCAGAGTGCTCCCACCAAGGCGCCAATAGCTTCAAGCTTTTTATCGTTGGTAGCGAGTATGATACTAGGTGAAAATATAGGCCTTAGTCGCCCGAATACAGAAAAAAGAGACACACCTGGAGAGATCAAGTCCCACGTGCTTGCTTCCTCTGCGGTTGCTTCGACATGGCATTCAGTTGCTCAGTATACAGAGTGATCCCGGCATCGACCAATGACCATAGAAAGCTGGAGATGAATGAGTATTGGCACGGACCAATGAACATTGCTACGTACCTGGTTCTTCCCCTCCTGCATGACCGAACACTGGATGATGACTTTTATAGCAATGCAAGATGAGGATACGCGTTGTGCTGAGTGGAGTCAACGTCTAGCTGCGAGTTGCCATTCGAAAGACGGATCGTACTTGGTGGACGAGGAGACGACGCGTCGATCACGCTCGAACCAAACAAACAAGTCTGGGCTTGAATTCAATCCACAACGATGGGTATGATCCTCTCGTGGGAATGCGAATGATCATCGATGCTGATACCGTACCATCACCTAGTACCAAGAACCATGGCGAGTCGCAACTGGGACCTGAGGGAGGGTTAGCTCGCTCTCTCTTCTTTTGTTTCTGTACTTATACATACTCGTAGTAGTCCGCAGACCCTTCTCATCCGTGGTCAGTATCATCTACACTCGTACGCTTGGTCCAGCATTAAGTTGCTGCATAGAGGCCGAAATCGTTACAATTGCGCCCAAGGAAGAATCGAAAAATTATCGCAGGAAATATTAAGCGAAAAAGGATAGACAAAATGGACCATAAACATGAACCTGTAAGTCACACACATGCCCAGTTCATCTTAGATCTCTCATGATTACAGAGGTGACTACGACCCACAAACTGTGGTTTTATGGATACTTTATGGTCTTCGGAGGCTACTTTGCGAAGGACACTTGGAGAATTGAATATCGACTCCTTCCTTTGGATTACCGCTGACGACCGGTATAAAGAGAGGCCTTGAGGCTGCGCTGGATTTACTGAACCTTCAAGCCAACTTATATCTCGTTCTTCACATTTTGAAGCTCAGTGCTGTCACAGAGCTTCGCCTCTCGCACTCCAAACCTCTGATAGTATCGAGGTTGACCATGTGCAAAGGACTGGTTCTTCATCGATGAGAGAGACGTGATTACATGGAAAGAAATGTGTGTTGTTTACTCTGAAATGTCGGCCATTCGATATTTAGTGCCTCCACCTCATATCAAGGATTCAAGAACCGATGAAATACGAAGCCCATCGTCAACAACTGCGATAACTACGGACTGCAAGCACTCAGTCACGCCGTTAAGGGCATGCTAGGGGAGCAAGTTGGGCTCATGCATAGAAGGCCGGTCAGAGTATGTGAATAAAGAGGGGAACTCGATGAGGTAACGCTATGCTCAGCCGTTACATTGAACATTGAATGAGTAACTGTATTCCGGGTACTGCGGCCTCCCTGTTAGGCGTGCATGTGAGTAGCAATGTGCCTTAGCTACATGTCCGACCTAATGCCAACCTGCAGCCGGCCTCACCTCCTTCTCCGCGTGCACGCTTGTCAGAGTCTCCTCGTTTACTAAATGCTGGTGTGCAACATTCAAACGTTCAAGAACAGAGAGTATTTATGGGCGGGGAGAAGCGCTCTGTTCGCCTCTTTTCACAGTCGAGAGTCGCCTCATAATGGATCATCTTTCTCCTTCAAGTTGCTATGACGGTCCCTGAGAAATTTAACAGTGCCGCGAGATCAATTCTATCTATTATGTGCGTGGTTTTGAAGAAGTCTAGGCCTGCTTATTTTTAACCTGAGCTGTCCGGATTAGCAGAAAGAAAGACGCCGTTATTACTAGAAAACCTTCCGCTACCGGTGTCGCCGCGACAGGCGCTGCACCTCAATCTCACTGATGTGTCGCATTACTGGCATTCCTTCAAAATTTCACGGCAGCACAAATGTTCCTGACACCAATGAGCTAGGCATATAGTTCGACCCTTCCGAATCTGTATTGAATGGCCACCAGTTATTGATTATCACCGATTGATGTACGCTTGAATGTTCGGGCATATGAATGAGTATCGTTTTTGGATGCCGATGTAGAACCGTGAGTAGAGTACCTTGTTTGTTTTGCCGAAGCTAATTCTTTGTCTGATTAGTCCTCCAAAACATATTATAACTGCCTAGCACTCGCGAGGGCAGGAATGCATGATAATTATCTGTTTCCCCATTTGCTCCATGATTTCATGGTACGTTCTTCCTCGTCCTCCAATGTATGTGAAGCCAAAATGTTACTGCAGGTACGAAATGGTGACGAAAGGGTTCCAGTGGAGAATCGTACTTGGGTGCTCCGTTTTGTGATGAATATGACTTGAAGGGGGAGGGGGGGGGAGGTGGGAACATATCATGGTGGCAGCATTGTAGCTACTAGGTATGGT